TAACTCTGCTCCTGTCCTCATTATATCTTCTTTCTCCTGGAATAGCTTCCGGAAGTTCAATATTCTGACCTCAAACCGGAAAACTTTGACCCCTGAGAAAGGGCAGAGCCAGGGCTTAATTTGGGACTTCAGTTACCTGGTAAGAAGGGTAATTTAAGTTTCTAATCCAATGGAACAGGCTGGGGGAAGTCCTGAGGGTAAAATGGGCTCCTGGGACACTGGGGTCCCTCTGGTATTCTCTCTTTTTCCCCTCAATTCACAGACTCTGGTGGAGCAACGTTCAGGTGGTTCAGGAAAGGGCAACAATAAGGTGAGGCCTGGACAGAGGATTGAGGGGTAGGAAGAATGTACCAAAGGGCCCTCTGATCACTGTGTCTTTGGCTGTCCCAGGGGCTGCTGGGTGTGACAGAGGAACTGCACATTATCAGCTTCACAGTCAAATACACCTACCAGGGTCTGAAGCAGGAACTGAAAGTGAGTAAAAATGGAGGGCAGGGAGAGATGAAGCAGATTTGGGAGAAGGCATAAGGAGGGATTAAACAGAAGCCTCTCAGGGTGAGGTATTATCCTTTGCCCCTACCAAATGTCTGCAGCTAGAATCAACACAGCCTCCTCTGTGATTCCTGTCTTCTCCCCAGACGGACACCCTCCCCGTGGTGATTATTTCTAACATGAACCAACTCTCAATTGCCTGGGCCTCAGTTCTCTGGTTCAATCTGCTCAGCTCAAACCCCCAGGTAGGAGCTGGGGCCAGCAGATGAAGGATGGTAAGTAAGTAGGGGTATGGAAGCTTGGTGTGAGGGTGCTAACTTCTGAGCCATCTGCCTTCCTCCCACCCCTGCAGAATCAGCAGTTCTTCTCTAGCCCCCCCAAAGCCCCCTGGAGCTTGCTGGGCCCTGCTCTCAGTTGGCAGTTCCTCTCCTACGTTGGTCGAGGTCTCGACCAGGACCAGCTTAATATGCTGAGGGACAAGCTGTTTGGTACAGACTTTCTTTTCTTTCAGCCCCAGCCCTCTGTCCTTTCCATCCCAGGACCCCTGGTCTGTCTCCTTCCATTATCTGAATTGTCTGTCTGCCCACAGAGCAGAAGTCTAAGAATGAGGATGCGTTGTTGTCCTGGGCTGACTTTACTAAGGTAACTCTGGGCCATTAGATTCCAGACCCTAGTCAAAACATGTGCCCCTCCCCCATCATTCTCACACAAGGAGCAACTCCACATCACATCTCTTCCTGCCTTTCCATTCCCCCTTCAGCGAGAGAGCCCCCCTGGAAAGCTACCATTCTGGACATGGCTGGACAAAATTCTGGACCTGGTACATGACCACCTGAAGGATCTCTGGAATGATGGGTACGGCCTTGGTCATTCTGTCTCTCCCCACCTCACCCTGGCCCAGCTTCCCTTCTGGGCTTGAGAGTGTACTCTGTGCGCCCTCATGTGGCAAATAGAGCAAAAACTAGTGCAAGGTCACACCCCCTCACATTTTTTTATACCAATCGAACTATTAATTAATTTATTTATTTATTATGGTGGCATTGGTTAACAAAGTCTAATAAATTTCAAGTGTACAATTCAACAGTAAGTCTCATATATATTGCATTGTGTGTTCACTGCCCATAATTAGATTTCTGTCACCCTCACATTTGCAATACCAGTTGGAGCCGATATTCGTCAAGCATCTACTGTGTGTCCCAGAGCCTACTGAATACATTCATGAATGTAATCTCTCATATAATCCTTACGACCATACTCATTGGTGGGTGTTGCCATCCTCATTTCAAGTGAGGAAGCTGAGGCTCAGAGAAGTTAACTTACCCATGGGACTCAGCTGAGATTTGAACCCAGTTGGGATTCTGACCCTAACCCTATGTTCTTTCTGTCACACTGCCTGCCCATCTGTACAGCACTTTGCCTTTTACAAGGTGCTTTTTATATATGTGACCTCACTGAATCTGCACACACATCTCTTCTAACCCTGGGAAGTGGATGTTGTTAGTAAAGTGAAGTGACTTGGCCACAGTAGAACAGTTTGCAAGCGGCAGAACCAGAGCCAGAACTTGGCACTTTCTCCCTATCCAGGGGAGCAGTGGGGGGCAGGAAAGCAGGAGGGCCTCACAGCTGCTTTCTCTGCTCCAGACGCATCATGGGCTTTGTAAGCAGGAGCCAGGAGCGCCGGTTGCTGAAGAAGACCATGTCTGGCACCTTCCTACTGCGCTTCAGTGAAACATCGGAAGGGGGCATTACCTGCTCCTGGGTGGAACACCAGGATGATGGTCAGCTGCTCTGCTCTGCTGTTCCTATAGCCTCTCCTTTCTGTTCCTCTGCTTGCCCTTGATTTCCCTGGCTCTGTTCTGAATCCCTCTGCAGGTCTGGGGTTGGGCAGCCAGGGTGGGGAGCATTCAGGCCCGGCCTCTTCCCTCAAGCCTGCCTGTTCCTACATCCATTCTCCAGATAAGGTGCTCATCTACTCTGTGCAGCCCTTCACCAAGGAGGTGCTGCAGTCACTCCCGCTGACCAAAATCATCCGCCACTACCAGCTGCTCACTGAGGAGAACATACCAGAGAACCCACTGTGCTTCCTCTACCCCCGAATTCCCCGGGATGAGGCTTTTGGGTGCTACTATGAGGACAAAGGTGAAGGTCATTGACTTACTTCCCTGGGCGATTGCAGGGATTCTCAGGCATCTACAAACCCAACTCCTTCCTTCCAAACATGGGAAAACCAACATCCAGAGAAGTTAAGGGATTTGTCCATGGGACACTGCTAGTTAATTAGGAGATATGATCATAGGGACCATCTGCACCAGGGCACCCCTTGGGCTTTGTCTAGTCCCCTGACCTTTTCGCCTTCTGCTTGTGTTCCCCACAGTTAATCTCCAAGAACGAAGGAAATATCTGAAACATAAGCTTATTGTGGTCTCTAACAGGTGAGCTATGAACTCTTCGGCCATTTTCCCTAGCACTTTTGACTGACATAGTGACGCGAACCTGCCCAATTCCAGGCTCTCTGGCCTTCTCTCCTACTGACCCACACTCTCCAGCCCTCTAGGGTTTTCCTGCTCTTCTAGTCTCTCACCTTTCTGTTTTCCTGCTGCCATCTTTAAGTTGTCTCCCCAGGGGTTCCCTGATAATAATAGTCATTGATGTTAATGGGCCTCTACTTGATGCCAGACATGGTACTAGATACTTTTAGAACATTTTTTTCATTTAATCCTATGAGAAGCCATCTAAATGGGTAATACTAACAGCTACATTTAATGAAAGTTTATTATGTACTATGCATTGGGCTAAAGCTTTGTGTTCATTTTCTCATTTATTGAATCTTCATAGCAGTCCCGTGAGGCAGACATTAATATTACTGTTTTCAGCTGAGGAAACTGAGGTTTAGCATAGTGAAGTGGTATGCCTAAGGTACGTGGCTACTAAATGGTCCAGATCTGTCAGATTCCAAAGCCCTGCTTTTAACCATCCTACTGACTCTCAAGTATTAAGTATTGTTGTTCCCATTTACAGGTGATAAATCTGAGGCTCAGAGAGGTTAGGTAACTTGTTGAAGGTTACCTAGCTGGTAAATTATAGGATTCAAACTCTGGTGAGCCTAACTTTAAAGCCTGTGCTCTTAAGCCCTCTGCTCTTTTGCCTTAGACTAGAGAGGTAGCCTCCATTTGCTCCATCATTCTCCACTTTATCTTAACAGCTGAGCCCTGTCCCTTTGTCTATATTGGGATATCCAGACAGGTGGATGAGCTGCAACAACCGCTGGAACCTAATCTGGAGCCAGAAGCAGAGTCATTAGAGCTGTACCCGGGGCTTGCGCCAGAGCCAGAGCCAGGGCTAGGCCTGGAGTTAGAGCCACTGCTGAAGGCAGGGCTGGATTTGGGACCACCACTGGAGCGCATGCTGGAGCCCACACCAGGCACAGTATCACAAGGAATGTCAGAGCTAAACTTGGGACCAGAACTGAAGCTGGAGCCTATTTTAGGGCCTATTTCACAGCCGGTGCCAGAGCCGGATTTGCCTCATGATCTGGAACACTTGAACACTGAGGAGATGGAAAGTAAGTGATGAGGTGGGGCTGGGGAAAAGGGGATACATTCTCTTTTCCAGTTCCCCTCCCTCACCCATTACAGAAAATGCCCAAATCTAAGCTTCTCATTGGAGGGGAGGCTCATTTCCTCATGATTCCTTTTATTAGGAAATGTACACACCTCCCCCTGCCCCACTTATGTTCCCTCTCATGCCCTGTCCAGGCCTCTGCGGCCATCCTCCCTCACTTTCCTTGCTTGGTTGGAAACTCCTTGCCTAAGATCAAGGCCTAATTTCTTTCTTTGGATTACCCAGTCTTCAGAAACAGTATGAATATTGAAGATATCATGCCAAATGGAGACCCACTCTTGGCTGACCAGAACACCGTGGATGAGGCCTATATCCTCCACCCAAGCCATTTCCACACAGAAGGACCCTTGATTCCTTCTGACTACTAGTAACTACATTTCTTCAGTTCTTTCCATGTCTTTTATCCCTCCGACCCCCCACATCGTGATGTTGTTCTCCAAGAATAGGAAATCAGGCATGTGCCCCTTCTAAGCTGGGTTAACCCTGTGATATGAGAGGTAAAAGCATAATATGGGTAAGGAAGGGGCACCAATGAATCAGAATAGATGTTGGTCATACGTCTAACTAGGATTTTGAAAGGTGCCTGCTGTGCTGGGAGGTGTAGAAGTTCTGGGAGCAGGCCAGGACAGTTAGGAGGTACTTAGAGGGCTTAGAGCAATTGCTTCTTTCCAGTATGAAAGGATTTCAGCATTTTAATAGCTGGTAAGACTAACCTGGTGCCTACTAGCATTTGTCTTTAGTGGGAAACGGACACATGATAGGGTTCCATTTCTTTTCTGATTCCCTCATGTCTAGTATAACCTTTTTCTTTCTTCTTCCCCTCTCTCCTGACTCAAGTCCTAAAAACCTAAATTTCTTCTTTTCCTGCAGTGAGTGAGAGCTTTCTGCCTCACCCCCAATGTGAAGGTCCTCTCTGAGGAAGGTAGTAGGAGGTAGATGTCCTCTTTTTACCAGTCTCCTCCCTTGCCCCCCAAGCTGGCCACACTCATTCCTCCCCAGAAAAATGATCCTGCTAACCTAATGTGCCTGTGAAGCTTTGCACAATAACTTATTCTGCCTAGTCTCCACTTTCCCAATGCTTCAGAGACAAATCAATCCTAGAAACCAGAGATGGTAGGGTTGCTGGGAATTTAGAAATGGCTTTTTATAGTTATTGTATAGAATTTGGTGTTTTTACAGAGGAAAAGAAGCCCTGGGTCTTAGATACTTCTCTATTAAGATATCATTCCCTATCTTTTGTATAATATATTGTTTACCTCAAAAGAGGTTTCTATTCCTTGCGTGTAGACTTGGGCAAAGATCAAGTTTCTGGAACTTAGTACCTTGAGGGTTTATCATGGGATTCTGGACAACCTGACATCTTAGCCATTCCCAGGGAATCCCAGGACAACTGCTATTGCTCTACAGTGTGCTTCTAGTATAACTTGAGATATAAATGAAAGTGAGGCCCTGTACACATGGCTGTTTCCTACCTGATATGTTAGAGTAACGGTCCTATTCAGAAAGAGGCCTTTCTGAGCATAAGTGGCTAATAAACTTTGTGCTGACCTGGAAGTGTTTCCTCTCTGAACTTCTCTGCTCACAAAGACAAATGTCCTTAGAGACACAAGCGGGCCACGTAGGATCGAGGTTAGCAAATCAAGTTTTCCACCCACCCCAGTATGCACTTTTTGTGATGTTTATTCTTACCCGGCTCTTTAGAGCAGCCTTTCCTGACCCTTAGATTCTTCTGGGGAGGCTGTAAACTATATATGAATTGGGGGAAAGGCTGAGTAGTTATATAATTAGACCATTGTCACTCAGTTGGTGGCAAAGCCAAGCTATAAACCTGTGTCTGTCTGACTCTAAAGCCCATGCCTTTTTGATGTTGTGACAATGGAGAAAAGGAAGGGAAATAATCACTAATCCCTTAGGGTTCTCGTTCAACTGGGTAATCAAACTCCCTTCTGAAGGGGCCCACAGATGTCTCTTAAGGGAGAATCCCATTAGTTTGGGGGATTTACTTTTATCTTCCTGGACTGCCCTTCCTGCTCAAATGCCTCTGACTTTTGATACTATAGTGATCATGATTCTTGTCTTTGGCCAAATACACTGTTGGCCAAGAAAACAGGGAAGAGGCCCCACTTCCTAATCTCAACTCCTTGTAATCCCATTCATCTCGTTTAGCCATGCAGGGATCAAGACCCAAAAGATCTGTTACTCTATACACCAGAAAGTCATAAGGAAATACCCCCTCCACCGTAGCCCTGCTGAGTAGAAGGATGCATTTTATAGTCCCTTGGCCCTATTTTTTCATCGTTTCTTTTCCCAAACCAAACCTAGAAATTAGACTCATATCCACATAAATATGTTTATTGAAAAAAGTGCATAATTCAATATAAATATAATAAATACTCCTTTTCTCTAAACTGCTGCTGTGAGGATAAATACCCAAATTCCCAAATTTTCCCTTTCCAGCTAATAAATACTCAGCATGTCCTAGGTCAGCATTATAAGTGAGTCGGTATTGGTAATTTTTCAATACATGGAAGTCCCATTAAAATTAATGGACTGATTCACTTGTTGGCTCACAGGCGCCGTGGCTGATAAGTTCATCTTTGCATTGCTGAGCCATGGAGATCTGGGTGCCATCCTTAAGCTGTTGGCTTTAGGGGCTCAGGGTTGCTGCTCCATGGGCAAAGACCCTGGCAGCTATAGCCACAAAGGCCTGGAGGCTGCGAAGAATCTTGAGGCGGAGAAGGAGGCGCTGCCATGGTTGGCTAGGACTGGGGCTTGGAGTCTGCTCAGTCTCCCAGTGGTGCTCCTCAGGCTGAAAGGACAGGACACTATTAGAGAAGACTCTAGATTCTTCACCACCCAGTCTGTCAGAGACTGCAAGCCACCATCCTCCAGACTCCTAATTCATACCTGCAAGAGTTGCCTGAGACCCAAAAGGGAGGCGTGAAGCTGGATCACAGGGCCACTGGAGAGCAAAGAAGGCTCTCCTGTGAAAATGTCTGAGCCTAGCAGCCTCTCGTAAAACACCAGGCCCTGGTGGATCCTTTGCAAGCAGGACTGGGGAGAAAAGAAAGCAGTGAAAATGGATAACCTCTTCCCACTTCATTCACCAAAGATCCATGCAGTTCTTTGCCATTCTTAGACACTACTAAGATCTGAATGTTTGTGTCCCCACAAAATTCACATGTTGAGATCCTAACCCTTAATGTGATGATATCAGGAGGTGGGGCCTTAGGGAAGTGGTTAGGTCATTAATGCCTTATAAAAGAGACCAGGGAGCACCCTAGCTCTGTCATATGAGGATACAATGAGAACTCTGCAACCTGGAAAAGGATCCTCACCCAATCATGCTGGCACCCTGATTTCCTTGGGTATGGACCTGGAGATTTACTTCTCACAGTCACCAGAGTTGTGAGAAATTTGTTTATAAATTCCCCAGTCTGTGGTATGTTGTTACATATAACAGCTTGAACAGACAAGGACAGATAGAACTTTTACTAATTCACCATCATCATGCCAAGATATGTCCCCTCTTCCTTGTGGCCCAGCCTCATCTTAGTACCTGACTGTTGACCCTGAGACCTTGAGGATCACAACCATCCTCACACTGGATATGGGGGACATCATTTGTAGTCTCGTCATCTCCCTCTTCTCTTGGTAGATCCTGGAGGAGAGGTTGGGAAGAGAGAAGAAATAAAATATGTACTTTCGAACCCCACTTGGACCCTGAGGCCCATGACTTCCCCAGGAGCCCTAACCCTCTAGCTTCCACCCAACGCCACAGTCTTCCACTGCAGCCTTGGAGAGCTTGGAGAGACTCCTGTTTGGTTCCAGAGGCTGCCACTCACCACATGTCCCATTGGTGGATGTGCACTCCAGGCCAGTGTGCAGAGCTTCTGTGAGAGCTGCTGGCACTGAGCCCAGGCAGGGCTGCTGCTTTTGGGCACAGCCCAGCCCAGAGCAGGGTAGGCCAGCAGTAGCAGCAGCATCAGAGCTCTACTCCCCAGCATCTCGGTGCCTGTTTCTCAAGTCTGGCTGGCTCTTTGCCTTGCACCAGTCCCTGTGGAATCTCTACCCACTTCCCCTTGCTCTGAGCTTGATTCTTTGTTCTGCGCGTCTCTGGTTTGGTTCCCTCGGAGGTTCTGAGCTGCTTCTCTTGTTTTTCTCCCCTTGTCTCCGAGTCTTTTTAAGGTCCCTGCATTGTAACACCCTCCCTTTATACTAGCAGGTGACTCAACAGCAGGTGGGATTCCCCTCCCTGCATCATTCCCCTCCATGGGGAGCCCAGGTATGCAGCCTCAGTTCCAGGGGAAATGACTCGTGTGGTTGCTGTGGCTGGAGGCCTGGGATGGGAACATATGTGTAATGCTCTCCAGGAATCGAAATGGCTATAGAAGGCTGTGGGGGTGGGAGTAACAAATATTTAAATGAATCTAGTCTCAAGTTCCTTCCTGTTTAACCTTTTCCTCATCTTTTTGCCTCTCAAAGCTATAAACCACCCACCCCCAACCCGAAACCTAATTTCCTCACCTCCTCCTGCCTGAGGAAAAACCAAAACAGAAGCATTCATTTATCTCCCAATGACATGGCAAGCTCAGTTTGGAATGAAGTATGATTTCCACCAGATGCCCTCTACCTAAAAATAAGGGGGTTTTTCTCCATTGAGAACAGTGTTATTTTAACTGGGAGAGAAAATGGACATGAAGGCATTTTGAGAACTAGACAGCTATATAAGTACTGTATAAAGTGTTACTGTTTCCTCATTTCAGGCCTCACTGTGGAGGGTAGGAGGGCTTTTGGAGGGAGGGAATTGTTGCTAAGAATCATCTGATTCTTCAACCTTAGTGGCCCAAAGCTTCATGGGGCTCTGTGGGATTCAGCTATTGGTCCTTTTGGGACACCAGTGTAAGCAAGGGCTAGAAGTCCAATTTAGATATTGCAGCTCCTATGCCATGCCTAAGAAGTCCAGGAGTTCTGGGTGGTTGAAGGTGCACAGTGTCAATGACCCTGGCCAGTCCTTCAGCCTGTTGCATCCATGGGTAAAATCCGCTGACACTGATTTCATCACCCTCCCTGATGCAACATCCAGCTGAGAGTGGGAGGTTAGGCGTGGGAGTGGAGGGTGGTCCAAACCTGGGGCTGCCCCAACCCCAGTGGAGGGTCCCAGGACACTTTGGACGTCAGAATGAGGCCATGGGTGACCACACTGATGGCTCCCAAAGCCTCCCCAAGAGGTTGACCCTATTCCTCTGAGAAACCCTTGACAGAGGTCTCCCTTAGAATAATTCAAAACTACCCAGTGAAACTTCTGATTCAAATATGACTCTCTGGTAAATCCACCCTTTGGATAAAACATTTCCAGCATCAGAGAGGTTATCTCAGTTTGAGTGAGAAACGGTTGCCTCTCCCCACATATGATGGATACACAAAATAAGGAAATTGGTGGTGGCATTGGAAGTAGGGGAGCTCACCTCACTTTTGTATAATGTGTTCTATGCTTTCTCACCGCTGGTCCCCATTCTGGGATCCCTGAAGTACAGGAGATGAAAGGTGAAGAGGAGGAGGAGGAAGTGGAGCCCTGGGAGATGGGATAAAAGGACAAGGGTGAGGTGGAGGCATGGTGCTCTGTTGCTTTGTTTCACTTCCTGGTGCTTCAGGAGTTGGGTAGGAAGCAAGGTTGGTGGGGCAGTTGTGGGACTGTTGTGTGGCAGGAACTACTTCCAGGACTAGATCTGACCTGGAGCTGCAGGGAGTCCTTGATGTCAGCAGGGCTTCAACCGTTATGCAAATCACACTCACAAAACATTCCTAAGTAGATTTTTCAGTTGGATGCCCAGACTCCAAATCCAATTGAAGTTCTTCCAGGTGGTTAATAATAGTGGCTAATATATATCCGAGTCTCACTTTATGCCAAGTACTTGATCTAAGCACTTTTCATGTATTAACCCATTTAATTCTCACAACAACCCAGTGAGATAGGTACTATTAACATCCCCATAAAACAGATGAGGAAACTGAGGCACAGAGATAAGTAACTTGTCCAAGATCAGCTAAGTGGCCAGAATTCCAGTGCAGACAATCTGGCTTCCCATCCTGCATTCTCAATTGTTCCATTATTTTAGACACTATGAGGAGACACAGCATCTTTATAAAGTAGATCATTTAGCCCAGGTATCTCTGGGTATCTCAGGCCCTGCATTCTCATGGGTCTGTGAAGTTTTTCTCAATTTGACTGTCTAGATCTTCCAGCACCAACCATTTTGTGAGATTTTAAACCTAGGGACCTGTGAAATCAGATTAATTTGAGAGACCCTTCGAGTTGTTTTTCTCTCAGTCTATGACCTCTGACCGAGGTTAGGAACATGCTGAGTCCTGGAAGTCTAAATTCTGGGTCTTTTTACGAAGGTCTAAGTACCAGTGTTTACTGAGGAAAATGTATCTTCTGTGAGGAATTCCTTCCACCAAAGAGGCCCTCTATGTGGCCTTTAGAAACTGAGCTAAAGTGCCTTGGAGACATCTCACAACTTGGATCCATTCCAAAACAGTTAAAGCTGAGTTAGGCCCCTAAAATCCCTCAGAATAACTGTTGACGCTAAATTTGTAAGACTATAGGGAAAGCAAATGTCTCAATTTGCCGTGCTCCTGCCCCGCTGAGGGGTAATGTCCAGCTCCACGAGCTAGGGGAATTTGACAGTTGAGGGGTCCCGTTCCCTAGGAATATCACCGGTGCCTCTGGGGAGGTCATAATCACAGATGAGAGTTTCAGATGGATGCTGTTACAATTGTAGAAGACGCAGCTGCTTGGGCCGTGTTAGCATGTTGGCTCCTGCTTCCTTCTTTTCTCGTCCATATCTGTGATAGGAAATGCCAGAGTTTCGGGGGCAACAGGGTCAGCGGCGACGGAGTGGCTTACAAGAGCACCGCATAAAGAGGGGGTGGACTACACCAGGCTGGGAATACCCAGCAATCGATTCCTAGTACTTTGCCTTGGGCGTCTCTTATTATAGTTTCTAAAGTTACAGAGAGCATGAAAGTTCGGTTTCCAAACTGGCATTCTCTAATGTTGTTCAACGAAGGTTTAAAAGGAGAGCGGTTACTTTTTAACAACATATGTCAAACACAGCCAGGCCTTGACTACATTTGTCCCTATCGGCGCACCGTAACCCTTGTTCTTACCCAGAGCCGCCTCACTCTTCACGCGGAGCCGTCTGCACTTGGCTCCTTCTGATTGGCTGAGGTGAGCCCCAAAGCATTCCTGATTGGAAGCTGCGACTGAGAGTCCGCCTCCTTTCCGGTGCAGGGTTAGGTTGAGCGTGAGGCGCGGGGGAGAACTGGGGAAACTGGAATTTCCCACGGAGCTGACGGCGCTTGTTCTACCCCTACTCGTTTAAATTCCACGCGCTCCAAAATATCCGCCATGGAGAAATCTTGGTAATGACTCAATCCCCGTAAGCATCCCAGGAACACATCTGACCCCTGCCCTAATCCCTCCCCGCCGCCGGGGGAGAATTCTGGGTAGTTGATTTCTCTGGTTCCCCCAGGGAATTCTGGGTAACTAGCCATTTCCATCACGTACCCCTACCCCCGCCCCAGTTGTGGGTAACTGGCCATACTTGTTTTCCCGTAGAGAATCCTGGGTAACATAACAGAGGATTCTGGGAAACTGACTTCTCTTGTTCTCACCTCCCAACTCCCCTTATTTTGAGGAACGAGCACCTTACACCCCTCTATCTAATTCCTATTCCCGAAATTGCTGCTCCTTCCACTAATGGTTCAGGGATGAACCAGGCAAGCGAGCAGGCCTGAAGGGAACTGAAAGGGAAGTCAAAGATTAGGTTAGATAGTAGGGTGGTGCGGACCACAGAGGGCCTAGAGGAGAAGAGGGACAACACTTCTCTCACCTCTGCCCTGCTGTCTATCCCCTTCTTTCCTGCTTCCTACCCACCTGCCTCATCTTACTCCTGCCCATATAACCAAAAATAACACTA